GAGCCCGATGCGGGACTCGATCCCAGGACCCTGGGATCATGACCTGAGCTGAAGGCAGACGCTTAACCATCTGAGCCACCCAGGCGCCCCGCCCCTATAATTTTTCATTATAACTCTTAAAAAACACTATTTTTCAAGTATATATTTGCCTTATTGCTAAGAGAACAAGTTTGTCCTATGGGAACAGAAAAGGATTATTTTAAATCACAAAAAGAATAAGTTAAAGTTGATTACATTGTAATTTGAAAAATTCTGCATGACAAGTCACTACAAAAGAGATTAAAATATAGGCAAGGCACCCAATGGAAGAAGACATTTACAACACTTTTCATCAACAAGGAATTAGTATGCAGGAGACAAAAAGAGCTGCTACAAATAATTTTCAAGACTGCTCACCTCCCCCCGCCCCCCCCGCACTCTCCCCCAAAATCCTAAAACGAGCAGAGAAAAGGCAAAGATAAATCACCTAAAGAAAACCTGAGGGGCTAATAAGCATATATGACAGGATGTTCAGTGTCCCTGGGGATTAGGAAAAAGCCATGTGATGTCATCAGCTTGGCCTGTGCTTACCTAGGACCGGGGCAGCTGCTGGAATGTTCTACATTCTACTAATGTAGATCACAGAGAAGGTTCGACAGGCACACACCTGAGCCCGGTATATGGTGGAGGGTGCTCACTGTGAGCAAGGAGGCACGTTATGGGATGCTGATTATAGCTTTGCTTTTTCAAGGAAACCAGGAATTATCCTCATGTCTATCAACAGAGCAACGGATATGAACATTGCTCTGTGTGTGTGTGTGTGTGGGTGTGTGTATCACACATGTGGCATGAAACGGTTAAATGTATCAGGTAAGCTACCCGACAACTCAACATGGATAAATTCCCAAAAAAGATAACACTGCAGAAAAAGGTATGTGGCAGAATAAAACATGTATAGGATGATACCATTTATGTAAAAATTTACAAGCATATACAAGTCCCTTGGTACTGTGTGTGGGGGCATGGGCGGGTAGGAAGCGCATGGAGGCAGGCACGCTTGCCTTGCTCATGAACGTGAGGCTGGTGGCGTCCTTGGATGGGGTGGGCACCCACAGTGCCATTTTCTGTAGAGGGAGGAGGAAAGCTCTGAAGCACAGGGTGGGGTATCACAGCCTGACGCTGGGCATGCAGGTGTTCTTCAGTAATCTCTCCCTCCTTAGGGATGTTTCAGGAACACAGCCTGACTTCCCCTCCCTCCCCATCCCAGTTGCAGACTTTGGAAGGTTCTCCAGCGCCCCCGATGCACCCTCTCAGCTGCAGACGTCCTCCCTGGAGGACCTGCTGTGCTCGCACGCCCCCATCTCCAGTGAGGACGACGCCTCCCCTGGCTGTGCAACCTCCACCCAGGTGCCCTTCAAGGCTTTCCTCAGTCCCCTCGAGCTGCGTGTACCCCGAGGCACTGACAGGAAGCTGTCCCCACTCCTGAGCCCCTTGCAGGACCCGCTGGCGGACAAGACCCTGCTGGAGCCCAGGGAGATGGTCCGGCCCAAGAAAGTGTGCTTCTCGGAGAGCAGCCTGCCCTCTGGGGACAGGACCAGGAGGAGCTACTACCTTAACGGTATGGCCCAGCGGGGGTGGGCACCAGGGTGGGCACCAGGGTGGGCACCAGGGTGTGGTGGCGGGCAGCCGGGGAGGGTGGCCTGGTGGCCAGCTGGCCAAAGCGTCTCCATTTTCCAGCAGAGGGAAGAGAGTGTGGCTGGGAGGCCAGGGTCTGGGGCTCTTCTCTTAAAATTTTTTGCCTATTAAAAAAAATTGAGTTGCTTATCTTCTTATGATCCAGTTGTCAGAGTTCTTCATATATTCTGCACACAAGTCCTTTTCTGGGCAAATGTTTTGCAAATGTGGTCCCCCAATCTGTGGCTTTTCCATTTGCATAAGTGTTCTTTAAAGAGCAAAACGGTTTCATTTGATGAAGTCCAGTTTATTGATTTTTTTTCTTTTATGTAGTTCATGCTTTTTGTGTGCGATTTAAGAAATCTTTGTCACACTGAAGGTCACAAAGATTCTCTCCTGTGTGTTCTTCTAGAAGTTTTATGGGTTTAGGTTTTACATTTAGGTCTCTGATCAATTTCAAGTCAGGTTTTGTACGTGGTATGAGATTCACATTAGATGGCTACTTCTTCCAGAATCAGTGTTCAGAAAGATTATTTTTTCTCCATTGAATTGCCTTGACACTTTTATCCATATATGGATAAGTGTATTTCTGGATCCTCCATGCTATTCTATTTATCTGTCTGTGTTGATTCCAATGCACAGTGTCTCGATTACTGTAGCTTTAAAGTAAGACTGTTAATCAGGTGGTCTACGTTCTTCAACTTTGCTCTCCTCTTTCAAAGTTGTTCTGGCTATTGTAGGTCCTTTGCATTTCCATATGAATTTTAGAATCAACTTGTCTTTTGTTTTATTTTATTTTATTTTATCTTATTTTATTTTTTTG